TCTCCCCCTCCCTTCCAGGTTTGAGAGCCTGGGAGGGAGGGCGAGTAGCGGTGCGCGAATCAGCTGTTTTGCGGGCCGTGGTGCGCAAGCGGCAGCAGCAGTGGAGGTGAGCTAGAGCGGCCGGGGCACATTTTTAGGGGCGGCGGGGGAGGCATTCTGGTGCCGGCCATGCCGCCCCTAAAAATGTGCCGCCCCAGGCACCAGCTTGTTTTGCTGGTGCCTAAGGCCGGCCCTGACCATGACTCAGTTTCCACACAACCATTCTTTTATTAGTTCAAAGGCCACCTGGTGTTGGTTACATTCAAACTACAAAAACAAGCATACATATGTCTATATTCTAAACCCTAGCAAACATATAGTTATAAGCACTGGTCAAAATATATAGTACAGATTTGGGCCCAGGAGATGTCCTCCCATCATGGCATATCTCCAAAGGGGTAGAGAAAAGCTTGAAGGAAAAAAAACCTGTAAAATTTTGCCTTTTTATAAACTGTAGCAAACATGTGATGTCATTGCTGGTTATTAGACCTTAGATAAAATCAGCTGAAGCAGTTTAGGGCTACACTCTGCTGTCTTCAAGCTTTTTCCCCTGACTACCGGATTAAATATTTCAAACCACTTATTAACGTTTTCTTTATTTCTATCGTTTAGCCCAAATCTTAAATAACACTGTTAATTCCAGAATCACTACAAGTTTACCACAAACAACTTTTCTTTCTTATGATTTAATTCTTTTTAATCACATGCTTTGGATCTATTACTGACACTAAAAATCCAAACTCAATTTAAAACCATAGTTCACTCAGCCCTTATGTGGGCTTATACTCCTACAATAACCCTCTGACTCCTGTTAGGGATCCTTTTGGGATTTGTGATCCTGAAACTGAGAACTCATATCATGACCATTGACAGCAGAATTCAGAGCAAGCCAATACTGATCAGTGAAGTATTTAGTAAGGGCAGAGCCACATTCACCAAGAAAAGACCTTGCATTTTCTGTGAGTTCAAACAAGCAATTAAACCATTGCCACATGAAAGTCAATAAACTTTGGTGTGGAAGAGAAGCTGGTGATGTTGAGCACCCATTTCTTCAGTTCCATTAGCATCCTCTTTGCCACCAAAGCACCCATTGAATAGTGTGTCCAAATGGCTTGGGATGCAATGGACTGGATTCTGTTCGTAAGGCCACACTGTTTCCTTGACAGGTTTAGGGACTATCAGTACAAATACCAATACAGCTATGCCAATGCAACCCAGCTGCACAAACTCATTTTGCAAAACTTCAGGAATGTTTTTCTTCTGTAGCATGTCCATCAGGGGATAACGAAATACAAACTCATCCTGTATGGATGGTTCTCAACTATACTGGAAAAATATTAGGCAGAAGATGACATCTAGAGTTTCAACCAGTTGTAGTATGAAGTATTAACTCTTCTGCATACTTTTACATGGCTATTCTCAACCATCTGAAGTGATATCATGAATTTGTCAGCTGATTGCAATGCTGGAGTGGAACAACTATGCCTCACTGGCAGCGGCAGATTCTAACAGAGCATTACTTATATCAGAGGCCATGGGTGCAATCAATGTTTCCTCAAGTATATGAGGGTTGTTAGCTTTTGTTATATGCAGTGATCCCACGTCTAATGTACAGGGGGATTTCCAGGTTACAGTATTGTCATTTATTAAAACAATTTTCTGAATTTGTAAACCCATAAACTTTTATGGGTTTCTTCTGTAAAGATGATGTGGTTTGGTCTCTAAATGGCTCAGTGGCCCTTCCTTTCAGTGGCTGTACACACTCCCCAGAATCCTTTGCCAACTTCTACAGGAGCTCTTTTAAAGTATCAAGGTAGCTGACAAGCTGCTTTAGTTTGAATCCAGCAGAGGAGAAAGACAGACTGCAAGCACTGAATGCATAGAGGGAAAAAATACAGTGATCACAGCCACCCTGCTGCCAGCCTCTATGAAACAGTGTTGGGAGCATGTACTATAATCTAATTAACTTTATCTTAAGGAGTAAGCTGGAAAACAAGAGGCAGCTACAGGCAGGGCCTAACTCCTACACTACTGAAAAAGATATAGGTGCCTGGCCACAGAAAAATGGCAAAATTCCATGGAAAAAATATTGAATGTCATGACACATTGGAAAATAGCAAATTCCAGGGTTGCAGAAGCCACAGGGCCTTGACTGAGATGAAAGGGGATATTCACACTTCCTAGACTGATTATTTCAGGCTGACTGCAGCCTTAGGCAGGTATTAGTTTACACTGATTTCACATTTTGGAGCATCTTTCTGCAATTATAAGGATTAGAAACTTTTTTTTTTAAACCAAAAAGGCAAGAGGGAGGGTGGTTACTCCACTAAAGCTTGTTTGAGATCTCCATGAGGTCACAACCTATATGGCTGAGAACCCCTTATTAGCCAAAGTCCAGCTTCCATGATGCACAAAGCTGTGGGATCCTCAGAAAATGGGTTGAAGTGGCTTTGAACCCAGATATGCTTCATTGAAGGCCTGGATCTGTTTTGCATCATGCTTCCTATCAGGGGAATATTTAAAAATTAGTAAACTAAGGATAATTCAGGAAATCAGCAAGACACAAATGAGCCTGGGTCACAATTCTTGCCAAAAATAATTATTGAAAAATAAGCCACTTCTGTCATAGGCTGATCATAAGTGCAGTGTCAGCCAGGGAAAGGATATTGCAAGAAGAAAGTCTGTGGAAGGACAAGAGTATCTCGAATTTGGGGGAGAGATGCAAAGGACAAAAAAATAATAAAAGGTAATTTATTTTTGTCTACTTTATTCCCTGAAATTTAGGCAAAATTCATACAATGGCAAAACATATGGAATAAATTACCAGGAAAAGTGATCTCAAAACAAACTACATTGGAGTTCCAGTGCCATGCTCAGCTTCTTTCTGGAGAAGAAAGGAACAGAGTGGTAAAGTCAACAAAAGAAAGTGGGATTAAGATTAATCCAAGAAGGGCAAACACATTAGACTGGATTTCCCTTTCCTATTCTTTATAGCCTTATGTCAACTTCCCAAAATCTGCACATCTGAAATGTGTCCACTAATGTAAGCACAAATAGTTATTCTCACCACTGTAGAAAAATGAACAAAACACAAATATTCCTATGGCAGAAGAGTAATAGGTACTTATTAACCATCAACACAAATATATAAAGGTAAACTCCATATATAAACATGATTTTATTTTGAAATTAGAAGATTAAAGTCACTGTGCAACATTAGACAGGCCAGTTACTTAACGGGTTGTGCTTCAGTCAAGCTGGCTATAAAACCAGGTAATAAAGCTGTACAGTTCTGAAAACCAGATGTAACTGAAATGAGCTGTCTTGTGTAATTAAAGAGGGGGAAACCACTGAAACAATACTGAGTCCAATCCCCCAAGTGCAGAGAAATACATTCTTGGCAATCAGGCTTTGATCTTGCAAGGTCTCGGACACACACATTCTTGGCTTTAAGTACATGTGTAGTCCCACTGAAATGGTAGTGGTGATGGGAGGATCTTGTTCCTGCAAGATGTCTAGCCCAATTTTGAACACACAATCTGAGAGAAGCATCTGAACATGGGGCTGAAATAAAGAGGGAACCTCTAGGACAGTGGTTCTCAACTAGGGGTACACATACCCCCGAGGATACACCCCCGGAAGACCTCTGTGTATCAACTTATCCAGATATTTGCCTACTTTTACAAAAGGCTACATAAAAAGCACTAGCAAAGTCAGTACAAACTAAAATTTCATACAGACAATGACTTGTTTCACAGACTGTTCTATGTTAGGGATATAGATATCGTTAAAAAGTTAACTGTTTAACGATTAAAATTATATCGTTTAAACGGTTAACCGATGAAAGGGAGAGGGGCTGGGGTTGGGTTCAGCTGGCCGGCATGGGCTGGGGCTGTTCTGTCTGGCCAGCGTGGCTGGGGCTGATCCACCTGGGCTGCTGAGGTTGGTGGGGTGGTAGGCTGGCGTGGGGCTGCTGGCTTCGGCAGCAGGGTCATCCCTATGGGGGTGCGGGGCCAAGGACAAATCAGCTCCCGCCAGCTTGGGGCCCCCCTCTGCATCAGCAGCTGGACGGCTCCAATTGGTGGGGTGGACGGCCTGCGCAGGGCTGCTGGGATTGTGACAGGCGGCTGGCCTAGGGGTTAACGGTTAAGGGGGGTTAACCGGTAAGACTAATGCTTACCAGTTAACCGGTTAACATTTTATATCCCTATTCTATGTACTATACAATGAAATGTAAGTACAATATTTAATATTCCAATTGATTTATTTTATAATTATATGGTAAAATCAGAAAGATATTTTTCAGTAATAATGTGCTGTGACACTTGTAATTTTATGTCTGATTTTGTAAGCAAGTAGTTTTTAACTGAGGAGGGGGTATGCAAGACAAATCAGACTCCTGAAAGGGGTACAGTAGTCTGGAAAGGTTGAGAGCCACTGGTCTAGGATTGTGCCTAAAGTCAGAATAGTTGTTCTCTTCCTCCTTCTTAGCAGAGATGTCTATGCACTATGTCCAATCCAGCACAGAGAGTGAAGAAATGTAGATTACAATTTGGGTCAGTCTCTGTCCCTCCCCCTTGCACCCTGCTCCTGCCTCTCTGCCCCCACCTTCCTCCCCCCTTGCACCTGTTCCTCCCTCCCTGCCCACCCGCACCTCCCTCTTCCCCTGCCCGCTCATTCCTCCCCACCCCGTTTCTGCCCTTCTCGCCCCGGACCCCTGCCCTGGGGGGCGGCTAAACGAGCGCGCTCAGACTCTGCCTGGCAGGATGCGCGCTACAGCCGGGGCGGGGCACTATGACGCAAGGCGGGGGACCTGAGCAACGCTATGAACGGGGCGGGGATAGGGAGCGGAAACAATGAACCAATCAGCGAGGGAGGCCCCGTCCCAGCGCGAAGCAGGCCAATGAATCGGCTTGGACGCCATCTTTGATGCAGGTAGCGGGATGCGGGGCGGCTCCTCCGCTGAGGCCTCTTTGAACTTCATGCCCACATTAAAAATGGAGGGAGTTGTGGTCACGTGATAGGGACCACGCCGGCTCCGCTTGGGGCTGTGCTAAGTGGGAGCCTAGCAGCGGGAGTAACACCACAACCCTGAGCCTGACCGAGGCAGAGGCGCATGCGCGGCCGGACTGAAGCGGAGGGGAGGGGAAGCGGAGAGAGGAGAGGAGCGAGTAGCTCCGCCCCCTCTTGCTCCTGCGGTTTCAGTGACTTCCCCGTGCTGAGGCCGGGGGCGGGGCTGTCACTTCCTCCCTCCTGGGTCCGAGGCCAGCAGCTGCCCCCTGCCCTCCCCCTCAGCATGCGCAGCCCACCCGCCCTGCCCGAGGACATCGTCAGCCTCCTGGCAGGTAACCCGGGAGGGGGCTCCCAGGAGGTTGGGGTGTCTGAGAAGGAGTATGGGGGGCAGGGGAGCAGACATGGGGGTCTGGCGCGGGGAGGGAGGGTGGTAGCTGCACCTCAGGGAATGGTGGGTTATTTTGCATTTATTACATGGATTGATTCGTTTCTGTATTTGGTTGTCACCACACACTTTCAGTGTAGTGCTTGTAGCAGGGGTGAGTGTTGTTGGTGATTGGAAGGGGAGAGTAAAGGACTGGGTGGAGAGTAGTGGTGCAGGTGGCTGAGTGGTAAGAATCTTTGATGCTAAAGAATGGTTTTTGTATTTGTAAGGTTTAAAAAACAAACAAACAAAAACTTTATTCTAGGGACTTGTACTGTTCCTGAAAGTAGTTTCTCATTTAATGGTGAAGAGGCCACTCTTAATTTGTGCAGTTTTATAGTCTTTTCCTTCCCAATTATTTTTTCTGTATTTAAAGATCCCCCGCAGGCTCTGTTTACTTAGCCTTTGATTATGCTCTTAAAAAAAATAATCTGCCTTCTATTTCAGTACAGCTGAAATGAGGAAGGACAGGCCTGCTTCTTACTTCCTTGGTCTCTGTCACACAATATATACTGTCTACTTATTCTGGATTTTCCATATTATTTGCTTAGATTATATTTACAAATAATATTCAAATAATAGGTACATGCATGTCTCTCTGCACACTTTCCTGCACCTGCTCAATAATGTGCTTTCATTTAATTTGGAGAGAGAAACTAGGGGTGAGACTGTTCTTCAGTCTTCACGCTAGTTTTGATGCCTGACCCCTTTGTAACCTTGTCAGTTTCAGCAGTGTTGTAGCTGTGTTGGTCCCAGGACCTGAAGAGATCTGTGAAAGCTCTAAAGCTTGTCTTTGGGCAGGTCTGCACTATTACCCAAGTTAATCTAACTTCATAGAATCATAGACGTCCCTTGGGGGGTTAACCTCACACAAGTTTTGTGCTGTCCATATTGGTGCTATGACGGCAGGAGATGCTCTCCCGCTGATATAGCTTATGATTCTTGCCAAGGTGGAGTAATTTTGCCAACGGGAGAGCGTTCTCCTGATGGCGCAGCGCATCTTCACCAGATGCGCTATAGCAGCGCAGCTGCATTGATGTAGCACTGTATGTTAGACTTGCCTTTTGTTGCCAACAGAAGTCGGTCCAATAGAAGATGTTACCTCACTCTCCTTGTCTTGCTAAGGATACCAATGGTGATGTAAAAATCTGTCCACCAACTGAGGGCTTATATTGGAATGAATGGATAGTGAAACAGGCATCATGTGACCAAAATTTGGTCATACTGACCCCGGCTGAATCCTATCCAGTGAGTTGAAAGGTACCGCATCCAAATCTTTGAGGAACATAGTTGGTCTAGAGCAGGGGTGGGGAACCTACGGCCCGCAGGCCAGATCTGCCCCATGGCAAGCCTCTGTGCCATGGCCCAGAAGCCCCAAGCTTCAGCACCCCTCCCCCCCATAGTGCTGACACTGCAAGCACCGTCTCGCCGCGATGCAGGGGGAAGCTACGGTTGCCATGCCGTTAAAAGTCCAGTTGGCTCCATGCAGCTCCCAGAAGCTACCAGCATGTCCCTGCGGCCCCTAGGAGCAGGGGCGATCAGGGAAGCTCTGCGCACTGCCCCCAACCCCATCGGCAGCTCTGAAGCTCCCATTGCCCAGGAACTGCAGCCAATAGGAGCTGCAGTGGTAGCTCCTGCTAGTGTGGGAAGCACGCACCGTGCAGAGCCCCCTGGCCTCTCCATAAAGGGGCCAGACATGGCGCCTGTTTCTGGGAGCAGCGGAGCCCCAGCAGGCAGGGAGCCTGCCTTAGCCCCGTTATGCCACTGACCGGGAGCCACCGCGGTGAGTGCTGCTTGGCTGGAGCCCAGACCCCCAATCCACTACTCCAGGTCTGAACCTCCTTCTGCACCCTAACTCCCTCCCCACACCCCCACCTGCCCCCAGCCCCCTGCTCCCAGTCAGAACCCCCTCCAGCACCCTAACTCCCTCCCAGACCCTGCACCCCCACCCCCTACCCAAGCCCTAAGCGTTGTCCCACACTCAAACGCCCCCCAGAGCTGGCACCCATACCTCCTCCTGCACTCCAACCCCCTGCCCCAGCCTGAGCCCCCTCCTACACTCCAAGCCCCTCATCCCCAACCCAGAGCCTGCACCCCGTCCAAACCCCTGCCCCAGCCCAGAGCCCCGTCCCGCACCCTGAACCTCTTATCTCTGGTCCCATCCCACAGCTTAGGGGAAGCCCCAAGGCTCCGCAACCTCTCCACCCCCCAGGGCTGTGTGTGGCCTATGACTGTTTTTTTCTGTGGGTCAGTGGCCCCGATAGAAAAAAAGGTTCCCCACCTCTGGTCTAAAGATCCCTTTTGGCAGTTTACATGTCCCAAAACCAATAAAACAGAAAAATGTATTAGTTCATGTGAAAACAATATAGTCGTAGATCACCTGGCTTAATTTAAATGTTACTATGTTGGTGCATCACATATTGTTTCAATAAAATGTGTGAAAGATTATGGTGTGGCTATGGAGGTGTTGATATTTATATAGACATGATGAAGTGTGATGAACTGACTACTAAAGCATACTTTCTCACCACAAAAGGTGACCAGCATTAGTATACATAAGAGGCTTTCAAACATCTAAAATTTAAAGAAAATGCTTTGAGGCATGCTTTATTTTGTTATGCTTAAGATTTACACTAGTGTACTTGATTTCCTTTTTTTGCAGCACTAAATAGCTTATTGTTACTGATTTGGGGTAAGTTATACATCTCAAAACTCAGGATTTTTTATTTCTCTTTGGAAAAAGTGTGAGAGAGACTTTGCAGCTCGCTGACTACGTCAGTTTCAGTGGTTAAAGCACTGGAAAACTTGGTTTCTATTCCTGGTTGTGCCACAGACTTCCACGTGACCTTGGCAAAGACGCTTAGACCACATTCTTCAAATTCTGGTGCCTAAAGCTAGGCACTTAAAGCCATACTTCGGCACCTGAAGAAATGGCCTGAATTTCACAGGGACAGAGTACTTACATCTCCCGCTAAACTTAGTTTTAGTTCCGTACCTCTTAAAATCAGGCTACTTATTTAGGTGCTTAATTTTAAGGAGGCAGGTTTGCAAAGTAGACTCAGAAAGATTAAGGCTATCTGGTGTCTGAGTGTAATTAACATTTGTAAAAAAAAATGTTGGCCTAGAACCCCTTCTGCAGTAAAATCCTCTGGATATCTCTATGAAATTACCATGTAATATCAGGAGCAGGTTTGTGACACGCCCCCCCCCCCCCAATCCCAAAGGATTAAGCTGCAGACTCCAAACCTGGCAAATTTTCAGGGATCCACAAGGTTCTAGCGTTCTGCAGGAGACCCAGGGGCATCCTCATGGAAGTTCTTTGCCTCTGGCACCCTGCAGCTTCCACCCTGGTGAAGCACTGCTGGGAACTGTGCTTGACATGGCTGTCCATGAGATCTAAGGGGAGATATGCAGATGAAATAATACAGTCTGAGTTTGTATTATTTCTTCTAATAATGTGCATCCTTTTCTCCGTCCCCCAATCCTATTTAGTCTCCACTCTCCCCCAGCATAGTTTGCTTGAAAAGGCCTCTATAAGGCTCAATGAGGTAGTGCTGCAGAGGCAGCTGAGGCCTTTCATGTACAGACTGGGGGGACAGCTGTACATGGAGGGTCTCATAGATTACTGTGAAATGCAAAGTTGGCTATTGATAAATACCTATTTAGTCTGTAAAATACCCTTGGGTTACAATTCTTCTAGGGTGAAGTGAAGCTGTACTCTTTACAAGTACTATCTTCAGTAAACAAGTTTAATGATGAAGTGATGTGTGTTTTTAAACTTCTCTTAAAATAGTTTAAAATTTAGTACAACAAGAATAATATCTAGATCTTTAAGTTACAGTGGAAGTCATATTTACAGTTTAATACACCAACCCCAGTTCACATTCTGATTTATCAGAGTACTTGAGGGAAAAGCATACTTAACACTTGTTGATCGCCTAGCTCTTTTTGAGCATAATAAAACATGTATAGAGTTGAGAGACTTCTGTAGGTTAGACAGGATACTTAAGAATTCTGGGGGACAAGGGGGTAAGTAATAACAAATATTGTCTAGTTAACCCTTACAGACATGTCTGTCCATTGAATTGGGGTGGGGAGAAAAAGCCTTGAGGGCATCTATTGCTATTCAGTTGGTAACTTCACTACTCTACATTTTTTCTAGAAAACAGGATAGCTTATTTAAACAATCCAACTGTCACAGGGCAAGCACACCCATCCCCTTCTGGGGCAGGGTGAGAGTTATTTCCCCACAGCTGAATCTTGGCAATCACCTTTGTCTTGGTACAGTGTGGCCTAGGGGTAAGTCAATATAACTGCCCTCTCTCAGGGCTGTGTGGCCTAGTGGCCAGTCAGGGGAGTTGGCCACCACCTGGGGGTGGGTGGCAGCCAGATAGGGGGACCCAGGCCCTCCCTGCTCCACCAGGTCCCAGCTCAGGGCCCTGGCAGTGGCAAGTGTGCTCACTACTGGGTCAGCAGGGGACTCCATCCAAAACACACTGACACCACCCAACACAATGACTAGTGCACTGTGCTACTTCCTACCCTGTCCTTGGTGCAGTGGTCCTGGCATCTCCAAGTTCTTTGGGCTCTTTAGCCTGTGTGGCTCCCAGCAGCTCCATTACTCCTTCAGCATCTGCAGGAGCTTGAGCATTCACCTGGGTCTCAGCATGTCCCAGTCTGGAGGGAGCTCACAGCATGCATACATCCTCCCTCCTCATCAGTCCACCCTGAATGAGCTGGGCTGCTCCCTTTTATACCCGGTCTCCAGCTGGTACATGACCTGAAGGGCCAAGGGGGCGTGGCCTCTTTGGCCCAAAGGGTGGAGTTAACCCTGGCAGTACCAGTGCAGGGCAAGCATGCCCCGCCACACCAACAAATACTTCATATAGGTCATATACAAAAAAGCTG